AACTACAGCAATCTGTTTTGCTTTGTAATATCTGGAAATGTCCACTATGGATGACAAAGAATCTGCAAAAAATTTAAACAGTCTAATTAGGAGGAGAAGAAAAGCATGGTCCAAATTCAAAGCAGCTGCACCTTACATGTTTTCTGAAGTCCCTTTGATACTGCTTGATACATAATGTGTTACAATGATCATGACCCCATTTGCTGTTCCAACATTCAACTCCAACTGCCGAAAGTCAATTTGTTCAAAACGGCAAGCGTTCAGTACTCCAGATTTCCGCCTTTTCACTTTTTATTCAAATAATTCAAAACATTATTACTAACTGTACTTAATCACTGATTAAATTCCACAATTAGTCCAAAGACAGGTACTGCAAAGCCAGAGTGTTAAGGAAATAACAGCTAAGAGGCATCAACAGTTCACATGCAATATAGGAATTCTATGCACTTGTAAATTTAGCTCTTCCCTGGTCATAAGACAATAAATCTTCCACTTCTGAGATAAATCTTATATTAAAAAGGGAAACTCTTGGTTACAAAGATGTGTTATTTGCAGACTTCTATTTTAACAATCTAAGCTGTAAAATGATTTTTAAAATTAAAAATTAGCATCATGTGTATTAAATCAAGAAAAGTCAGCAAAAATTTGTTAAAGGCAAATTGTCTTTAATTCACTTGAATGTTTTGATGAGGTAACAGGGTTATGAGAGCCACGTGTTTGATGTGGTGTGCATCAACTTCCAAAAGGCATTTGATAAAATGCCACATAACAGGCCTGTCAAAAAAGGGCCAGTGGCAGCATGGACACAAACCTGAGTTAACAAGTGGAAATACAATGAGCATTATGCTTCCTGGACTGGAGGATGCATACAGTGAGGATGCCCATGGGTCGGAACTGGAATCCTGCTTTTCTTGATTATATTAATAACGTAGACTTTGGTGCAAAGAGGACAATTTCAAAGTTTGCAGATGACACAGAACTCGCACAGGATGCCTTCTGTACAATTTATGAAGGTAGAAAGGCAGATTGAAAAAGTGATTAACAAAGCATCTGGGATCCTGGGCTTTATAAAAAGTGTCAGACAGTATAAAACCAAGGAAGTTCTGATGAATTTGGAAGAAAACTGGGTTCTGGCTCAATTTGACCACTGTGTCCATTACTGGCCACCACCCCAGCAGCAATGTGAAGACATTTGAGTAAATACAGAAAAGATTCAAAAAAATGGCAATTCAGGGTTGAGATACATCAGATTATGTGTCTAGACTGGAGAAGTTGTTAAGGAGCTTTTCTCCATGGAGTAGTGAAAATTAAGAGGTGATTTAGGATTTTACAAGGTGTGCACAGAAAAGATTGGGAGATACTCTTCTTGTTAGCAAGAGGGTCAAAAACCACAGTACACTGATTTAAGGTGAATCACAAACAGTGGTGAAAAAACTTTAAAAAACACAGCATATCGTTAGAATCTGGACTGCTGTGTCTGAGTACAATGAAGGCATATTGAAGAGATCTTCTCAAAAGAAGTGAATTTTTATTATTTTTTCAAGGCATGTGAATGTTGCTGGCAACACCAACATTTACTGCGTATTTGCAAAGTTGGTGGTGTGCTGCAATCTTGATGCACTGCAGTCACTTGGATGCAAGTACGCTCACAGTATGTACTGTAAGAAAGGGAGATCCCGGATTTGACCCAGTGATAGTAATGAAACAATACAAATTCCAGCCAGAATGGTGTGGGGATTACACAGCAACTTGCAGGTGATGTACCCACGCAACTGCTGCCTTTGTCTTTCTATCTTTTTCTGTCTTTCTGTTCTGAAGAGTCATCAGACTTGAAATACTAACTCTGCTTTCTTCCCACAGATGCTGCCAGACCTGAGCTTCTCTAGCAATTTCTGCTTTTGTTTCAGATTTCCAGCATCCACAGTTCTTTGCTTTATTCTACCTTTATCTTTCTAGATGGTGGACGTCAAAGGTTCTGTCAAAGGAGCCTTAGTGGGCTGCTAAAGTGCATTTTGTAGACGCACACTGCTGCCACAGTGCATTGGCGATGGAAGTAGGTAATGTTTCTGGATATGGTGCCAGCCAAGTGGATTACTTTGTCCTGGACTGTGTCAAGCCATCTTAAGTATTGCTGAAGTTTTCACATTCCTGAATTGTGCCTTGTACATCATGGGCAGGTTTTGGGGAGTCAGTACCTGAAGCAAAAAGATTCAGCAGCACTACAGGGAAAGGGTAAAGAGGTGAGTTACTCTGCCAGAATCAGCACAGAGACAATGGGCTGAATGGTTTCCTTCTATGCTGCAATCATTCCATGATTTCTCTCTTCAAAAACACTACTGTACGGACACCACTAATAGTCTATTGAATCAGAGTTTGCTTTCTCACAGTGTCAAAGTCTCATTATCCAAAAAAAGATTAAGCAAATTGACACAATCCAGTCCAGAAGCAACTTTGTGCCTCATCATGGTAGTGATTTACTTGAACATTGTCACAATTTTAGCTGTTTTTAGAAATGTATTTTAATTAAATGTTAATGATCATAATATTAAGAAGAACACTTTTCAACACTGCCAAATTAAAGAATTTTTGTGGAAGAACAGGATGTATTTACATAGCCCATTGCACAGCTGCCATCATTAGCAACAATGTTTCAAAGCAAGATATTCAATTCCTTCCATTCACCAAAGACTGGAAATAATCAACCGTTGCCCTGACAACTTCTAAGTCTAAAGACTGAGCTTACTTAAGGCCAGGAGAACACAGATAACCTCTTCTCCAACAGCACTGACCAATTTTTCCAACAGCTGCTGCATTGAAATTTTAGAAAGCAGTGTACCATAGAACCTCTTTACTGAAGACAACATTTTAAAAAATCAAAATGATTGTTGAAAATATAACTGCAAACAAAAGATGTCTTCTGGAAAACACTTTCTTTCAATGTTCAAGTTCCTTTGTTTAGATTTGTTACTGCTAGACTTTCCTTGACAGTTCTTATCTGTATTCCAGTAATTCTACATAAGCCTCCCTGAGATTGGCAGTTTACCATTACAAGGTACAATATACACAAAATATTAAAAAGTGAATAGAAGATGCAAAGCACTTCAGGTTGGGGCAAAACAAATACATGGTCACTCTGACATCTGGTCAGACCAATAAGCATTTAATTGGCTTACTTAAAAATAAGCAACACTATACCTTCAATCTTTTAATGTTGAGTTATAAAGCCATTAGCTTCTGCCCAGTCAGACTGACTAAAAACAAAGTCAAACAGCATTCTTTTTACATCAACAGCACTGCCAGAGGTCAGAACTATTCAGAACTGTATACATTGGTTTTGCCCAAAGCGATGGATTCGCCTTTCAAATCTTGTCACAATCGAAGAGCATCAAAAATGTATTAAGTGTTTAATTATAATTAATGCTGAATTATTGTTTTAACTTACAAGTGTTGCAAATATTACGTCTAATTTACTACCACGTTTTCCTAAATTCCCAACCCATACCCTTCTGTGAAGACAAAAAAAAGCTCCGCAAGGTTACCGCGACAAACACTGCCACGAGGGCTGAAACACATTTACGGAGCAAATTTTGTAGAAATCGTAATTATATCATTTACTCAGAATACAGTTGGACTGCAATGAAAATACATATTAAAGATACGTTATAATAATAGTAGTTAAATAAGTGGTGAAGGTGATCGATTACATTGTTCATGGGCAGCGACAGTGCAAACATTACAAGTTGGCGGGATTTTTAGTCGCAGATAATGCAATGTCATTTAGTGGACACTAATCAAAAACACGTCCTTGAAAGATGTGTAATATTAATACTTCACACAATCCGCTACTATAGTTGAAAAGAGCATTGATCAACAAAACGAAATCTGCCGCAATGTTCGTTTCTCCGTGTGACGATTTCACAATTTGTAATAAAGCATTGTGAAATAACGCTACTGATTTGCTTCCAGCCCATGGTCAGCTTCAAATATGAATTGTAGCTGTGCTATACCTTATTAAGTGTGGATTTATGGACAGTGCACTAAAAGATGCAAAACAATCAACAGTGCTGACTACTAAAGAAAAAATAATATCCATGTGGTAAGAATTCTGGTGCAAACTGAACTCGGAAATCCTACCGCGTACTAATTCAAAGCCATCTAGCGGACAGATCTAGGAGGCAGGGAAATATACAATCAAACCAATTTCTCAGAAAAAAATGGATCAACCAATGCCCTCAACTTCCAGAAAAACAAGGCAATGCGCAATTGGAATCCCAGTACGGCACACTCTTCTCAACCACAAGTCTGCACACAGAGTACCAGTCAATGAAATATTTTATTAGATACCACGGTCCGGTGAATTTTACAGGTTTTTGGGTTCGTGAGCGAGAAGTAACTACGCGAAACGGGAAGAAGATAGGGACTTGGAAAAACAAATTCTTTTGTTTCAACAGAAGGTAATATATGGATAAATAAATAAGCAGGACCACCTGGATTTCTTGCTGAATCGATATCCACACCAGCCCTCAAAAACAGATCTTTCGTGGGAAACGTCCCGTTATTCCTGACCGGTTTCTTGATCCAGATTACATCAGGTATACAACCACCCACAGGAGGGTTTGTTGTCCTGCCTTCGGAAATTGGTGGTTGGTGGTCGGTGGAGAGATCTTGCTGAGTGCTCTCTGCCTAGCGGGTATTTCGGAATGGTTTGGGGCTGCGGGAAGCAAATATTTCTGGAGACGACAGTTCGGTGGTGGAGGCGGGGGACGGGGCGGTGGGGGGGGAGAACGGTGGTGGATACACAAAAAAAAACACTAGTTCCAGGCGGGGGAAGGGGCTAAGTAGCAACCCATCTCCCCACTAAAAGCACGAAACCCTACCACACCGAGACAGCCCAGCAAAAGCTGATCTCTCAACACCGGCTCTCCTGCTCCCCTCTTTAAAAACGACACTGACTTGTCAACAAGCCGCCGCTTCGCATCTCCGTTCCAGCTTCCTCCTACCTGAAGGCACGGCGCGAGAAACAGGAACCGGAGCCGCACATACAAACTGGATTCTTTCATATAGTCCCGAGGCTATGAAGAACGACTAACCGATCCTGATCCCGATCCACAGTTCCCAGCCTCCAATTGCTGCAATAGCAGCAGCAGCACCACCTCCCACAGCCAGTAGGCTGGGAAAGTTTTCACATTCTCCCGCACCTCAGCCCAACCTGACGCCAGCTGTCCCTCCTCTCGCCCACCGGCCTTGCCCTCACCCCATTGGCTGTTCGCCAACGGCCCGCCCTCCACGCGCGGCCAGGGCCGGCAACAGCGCTCTCTATTGGTCAGACGCAGCCATCACTGAAGTTCGCCTCTCCGCCCCCACTATTAATAGTACGGCCAAGGCCGAAGCCGAAAGGCATGCTGGGATGTGTAGTTTTCCTCTGTCCATTCTCCTGAGGAAGTCGGATGCTCATTTGTCTGGAAACGAACTACAACTCCCGAAGGTCAAAGCGCGATATCGATTTTTTTTTTCACCCCACGCCAATTTTCGCGATACTTTTCGGGTACCGTTGCTAAGGTTTCGGCTTTGAAGCTTCTCCGGACGAAGTTTGCTCGAGTTTTCGGCACCCAGAAGGTTTATCGCACAGACAGAGATAGAAAGCGAGGCTCCCGTCATTATGACCATCAGTGAGAGCTCAGCCAAAGCTCCCGCCATGGAGACGTTGTTTTCCTTGGAGTTGTTAGTGGATTATGTGCGATTTGAGCCTGGGCCTTGGACAACAGGATCCGGACCTTTGTTGGCGGTGGCCTTCAGGCTGTTAGACTTTCCAACTTTACTTGTCCATCAAATTGAACCGGAGCGAGCGGAATGTATACGGCGGAGCTGGGCGTCCGACAAGGAGAAGGCGATTCCTGAACGACCGTCAAATGGCTCTGACATCCCGTTCAGCAAAGGGAAATCCTGCTTGTTCAAGATCAGCCTGGCGTCCCTGCACAGCCATTTGAGCAATACACCTTTGTACGCCATGCTGCTGGACGTCTTCCCTCGGGTACCCAAGTTCCTTGGCAGTTGCCTGATTTCTCTGGCCGATGCGGTGGATCAAATCAGGCGGGAAGTTGCGGAGCGCGGTATTACAATGCCTTCCATGCATGGGAGTAAGGGTCTGCACGCTTTGTATAATCTCATGGGCAGAAAGATCGGCCACATTTCGGTGGCATATAGACTCTTGAGTTTGGGGGCGGCTTTACTGCCGCATGGTCGAGAGAACCTGACTGTCGGAATGCTAGATGTCAAAAAACTCCCGCTCAAACCCGTGGAAGCGCCAGTTTTGCCCGATGAGCCAGGTGTGACAGAGCAGGTTAATAAAAAGAGCGAGGAGTTTACACCTCAAGATACCGCGAAAACATTATTTCGTTCCGCAAAATGTCCCGACCCGGAAGCGGGTAACCAGATTCTCGACCAGAAAGTCCAAATAAGCGATAGTGAAGTACCTGTTGTCACCTCCATGCCAAAGGAGGAAAAACGTAAACCGAACAAACCGACTAAAGGGGAACACGTGGAACACCAGATGGAACAGCGCAGATTAGAAACTGAACGAAGTGTAGATTTAGGTGTAGACAACGTTTTTTGTCCACCTCCAATGTATTATACACGGTCAACGAATGAATCCAAAGAAAAAAAAGCTGAAGTACGCAGAGTAGTGGAACCCGATATAATGTCTGCCCCACCGGAGCAACGAGATACGGATGAAGACGGTGAATCGTTCGAAATTAGCCAGAATTTAAATTATTCTAGGCTGCCTGCAAGTCAGTCGAAAATGACATCCAGGTTAAAGCCACAAGTACACGATACAATGCCACAACTTGATCCATGTAATAATATCAGTCAGTTACCTTTACTAAATGCGCTTCTGATAGAACTTTCTTTGCTACATGATCAAGTTCCGCAGCGAATTCCTCTTACCATTCACCCTAAACTTGCTTGGCTTTACAGTGGTTTAGAGAATGATTCGCCCAAATTTCATAAACCAACTAGTACAACAGCATCAGAGCATCTTAAATCCACCAGTTCAAATTTAAAGAACCAGAAAGAGAAGTTTCAAAAGCACCCAATATCTCTAAAACACTTTGATAAAGAAAATGCTACAAAACAAACTATTACAAAGAATGACTCTAAACATCCAAAAAGAAAGCTGATGTATGGATTAACACATACATTGCGATTAAGATTACAGCAGACAAACCCACATATGCTGATATTGCATGAACGAAGGGAGCTGTCAAGAAAAAAACAACTGAAAGAGAGAAAGACTGCGGCAACATACTGTAAAGGCAAAGAAGGAAGTGCTCCATCAAAATTTCTTCAAGAAGATCATCACCTCTCTGGAGCTTTTTCTTTCCAAAGTGGCTGTTTTGAAGAAAACGTTGAAACATTAATTGAAAATAGTGTTGAACTTGATTCCCTCCATTCTTCAAAAGTTCTAGGAAATAGAAAAACTAAAAGCACAAATAATTTTGGAGAAATCTCCAAACTGGAAAGTGTCACTACTAAAGAACAGATGTGTGTTCGAACTCTGGGCCCAACTTCAAAAGTGTCAAACTTTCAGATGTTGGATAAGGCAACAAATGACAGGATATTTTTTGGAAAAGATGTAAAGATCAATTTACCCAAAATTTTCAATCTGGATTCTGACCATAGTGTCAGTGAGTCATTTAACAGAGCAGAGAATGTGTTGCAGACTTCAGAAATTTATCCTGGCTCTATAATTGATTCCACAAAAGCAGAAGACAGCAATGCACCGATTTCCTCTAGTAGCTATAATGACAGTGCTGACCCCAAGTATTCTGAGGACTTCACAAGTCCTGAAGCAACAGGATTCTCGGAAGATTTTACCAGTCCTGAACCTACAAGCAAATGTACAGATAATTTGGATAGTAGTATTGAGGCAACATCCACTAAGGTGAAACATATGTATTTTAACAATGCGTCAGAATCTAACCTTTCCAAACATTTCAACAATGGAACAGCTCAAAGTGAGAGGGAAGATGATTCAGTTCTTCTACCTATACCATCCCAGCAATCTCCAATTCGATCTTTAAAAGCAATATCCAATGTAAAAAGTCACCATCAGAAAGTGGCAACCTCTAATGTATCCAATGATGCTACCAGCTCAACAGAGGTAAATCAAATTAGAAACACATTGAACCTGACAAACAAAGAAGAAAATAAGAAACAGCTTGAGTCAACTCTCCTTCAGGGAGATATCAGTGCAGTTAGCATAGAGCTCCCCAAGCTTTCAAGTTCAACAATTGGATGCAAGGCTTTAGAGGACAGCCAGTCTTTGGGGACATCCCAAATGAGTTCCTACATAACATTCAGTGTGTCTGACCTTCCCTGTGGTGAACTTGAAATTAACACAACAGATATTCAAAAAGGTGTGAGTGAATTGGATGCTACAGGAATGGCCAATGAGTGCAGGCATATTTCTGAACTAATAACCAACAAACTTCCTGGATATACTTTATGATGCCATTACTAAAGTTACTTTGTTATTGTGTTTGGCATCCTTAGACTGCGTATTAGTTAATTACATTTCTCTTGACCCATAAGTAAATTTTATCTGCCACTATGCTATTTATAATGCATGTGACAATCTATATGCATAAATGAGGTATGCAGTTTTAGACCTCTTCCTGAACATGTTCTACTTCTTGTCCTTTTAAACAGTAAGGAATACCTTCCTCCTTCAATCTCCTTCCTTCGTTGTCCAATTCACTTGCTTTCCTTCTTCATTTTCTACCTATTTAACTGTGGCTTGAGCTCTACAAATCTCTACCAATGGCTTCTTTTTACAGCACTAGAGAGACATCTTTAACCCACAATTCTTTCCTTTCTGTCCATGTTGTCTTTTAAAAGCATCATATGTTAGGTCAGGCTGTATATGTAATAAAAATAGAAAATGCTAGAAATATTCAGGTTAGACAGCTGGTGAAAAGTTGGCCCTCTATTTCTTGAGACAGTTGCCTGACCTGCTGATTATTTTCAGCATTTTCTATTTTTATTTTAGATTTCTATCAGTATTTTGCTTGACAACATCCAACTTGGAGCTTCTGACACCTCCACACAATCCTTCCACTGGGTATTTTGGAAGACTGCTTATCTGAGAAGGGATACATTGTACATCTTCTCCAGCTAAATATTAGGAAGAAGGAAACCACTGTCTTTGTAACAGAGGAAGGAACTACTGGCTATGGAACGTGTGTAACAAAGGCTTAGTGGACTAAATCCTGGATGGCAGAACTGACATGTGAAGAGAGACTGGATTAGTCAGAACTATATTCACTGGATTTTAGAAGAACGAGGGGGTCTCATAGGACCCTATAAAATTCCAACCGACTAGACAAGGTAAATGCAGGAAGGATGTTCCTTATGACAGGGGAGTCCAGAACCTGGGGTCACAAGCTAAAGATATAGGGTAGGTCATTGAGGACTGAGATAAGGAGAAATGCCTTCACCCAGAGATTGGTGAGCCCGTGGAATTCTTTGCCAAAGAAAGCAGCTGAGGATAAAACATGGAATGTTTTCAAAGAGGAGTTAGATATAGTTCTTAGGGCTAAAGTTGGATGATCAATAATGATCATGTTGAATGGTGGAAAGGACTTGAAGAGCTAAATGATCCACTCATGCTCCTATTTTCCACATCTCTAAGAGTAAGCTTTTGGGGAAACTGCACCAGGTTTACTCCCTTTAGCCCAAGAAAAGTGCCATTGCATCAGTAAAAAGAATGAGTATATTTCCACAGGGTGAGAAAAGCAAGCCTGAAGTGATACTGGGGGATACTAGGGCCAACCAAACTATAATGCTTGGAATGGGTACGATCTTCCCACCAGAGAATGCGATAAGTGTGAAGGTGCTGGTAACAGGGTCCAAATCCACCCTTCACCAGGTTAACCAGGATTGTGACCTAGTGCTGGGACCAGTGACCTTGGGAGTTGTACCTTGTCTGGGGACAAGATTCTCCTGCTATTTGGCAATGACCTTGAAGGAGCAAAGATAACATTATCCCCAGTGGTCTCTGAGAAAGTCACTGAGGTCAGAGAGACTGAACTGCTGTGGGAGAAAATGCCTAACATTTTTCCCTATTTTGTGATCATATAGTCCATGGGCAGACGAGCTTAGCCAGTGGAAGCTAAGCTGGCGCTGCAAGCAGAAGACCCTCTGGTTCTGGTTATCCTAAATGAATCTAGAAGATGCCAATGACATCATAAATCAAAACTGCTGGCAAAACTCAGCAGTAATGGCAGCATCTGTTGGAAGAAAGCAGGGTTAACATTTCAAGTCCAATGATTCTTCATCATCAGAACACAGGTGATTTGGTAAGGGAAAAAAATATTCACCTGTGTGGAAGAGCACATCTGGATATAAAAGCAAGTAGAAGAGAAGGAGGAGGTCTACATGCTAGACCATATAGTAGAGTTGCAAGAGTGACTCTTCCGAACCTGTGAAGTTGCCTGAGAACACCTGAAAATCTTCCAGTGATGAAATCAAAGGCAGGCAAACATGCCAGGGTCCAAATTTTTCAGCTAGGAGACTTTGTGTTAATGCTGCTACCAACCCTTAAAGTGAACCCTTAAAGGCATGAATCTGCAGTCTGTTGTGAAAGCCTAAAAGCTTGAGAAGTGAACTAAGTGATTGAGAACACAAATCAGGGAAGAAAGGAAAGGCTCTTTCAGGTCAGGCATTCCTGTCGCTAGGTCAAAATCTTGGAAATCCTTCCTTAATGGCATTGTGGGTCCACCTGAGAACATGGGCTGCAGCAGTTCAAGAAGGCAGCTCACCACCACCATCTCAAGGGCAAATAGAGAAGGGCAATAAACACTGGTCCAGCCACATCCTACAAGCGGTTAACCAAAAAGCAGGCAATGGTCAGCCCCATTTAATTGACCAAGAGGACGAAGGCAACAGCAAGCATGAATTGGAGGGAGACGCAAGTGAGGTCCACATGAACCCTTTACTGCCTATCCACCCAATAATGAAATACTAGCAAACGTAGATTCCTTATTTGCTTACTCAAGCACACAACAGGAAGCATACTTAATGAGACTGCTCTTTGCATTTAAAGGCATACTCATAGAGAGAAGGCAGGCTACACCACCATACCTCTACATGATTTGGATGTAGGAGAGGCCCTTCCCATAAGGGAACATCCCTGTCAACTTGACCCAGAAAAGCTAATCCATTTTAAGGAAGTACAAACCACTGGAGCACCAACTAACAGAGTCGAGCAGTAGCTGGAGATCCCCAGTTGAGCTTGTATTCAAGATGCAGAACTCCACAAGGATCTGAATTGACTCCAGACAAGATAATGCAGTGACCAGAGCTGACTCCTACCCAGTACCCTGGCTGGATGATTGCATAGAAAGCTACCTACATTAAGAAGAGGGATTTATTCAAGGGGTACTGACAAGTTTCCTTGCCTTCCTGCATGAAGGAAATATGTGCCTTTGTAACTCCAGGTGGTTGATAATTAAATTATTAAATCCTGCCATTTGGACTTCAAAATGCTCCTGCCACCTTTCAAAGGCTGATGCCAGAAAGTGGCAAGGTTATCTAATTGTGTGGTGTACTTATGATAACCACCTAGTGTGCAGTGACACTCGAGATACACATTTAGTAACTGGAAGCTGTCTTCCAGAAAATACAGTTAGCTGATCTACTAGTCAAATTCACAGAGAGTGAGTTTTCTGAGGCTCAAATGATCTATCTAGGGTTGTAAAGGTAGAAGCAACAGAACAGTTTCAAACTCCCACAGTCAAACAGGAAACCACGATGTTCTTAGGGATGAAATAAAAAGGTGTAGAGCTGGATGAACACAGCAGGCCAAGCAGTATCAGAGGAGCAGGAAAGCTGACGTTTCGGGCCTAGACCCTTCAGCTTAGGGATGTATGAGTTCGACTGAAAGTTCAATCCAAATTCAGTGCAACAACTGTGCTACTGATAGACCTACAGGAAAAATAAGGCAGTATGGACTGAGAATTACCAAACTACTCTTGAAAAGCTGAAAACCATTTTTACAAGTGAGCCTGTTCTTGCAGTTCTAAATGTTAAACAGGTATTTAAGGTGGCCACGAATGCGAGGGACATCAGGGACAAGGCTGTTCTTCTTCAGAAAGCTGAATCAGAATTGGACACCAACTGGGCACTTTTCCACAAAGCTAAGCAAACATCAGTAGAGAGGAAAACCCTCGGTTTATTATTGGCTTTCAAACACTGAAATATGTGTTCAAAATGAGTACACAGAAACACCAGTCTGTACTGACCGCAACTCATTACTTTTCTGAAAAACATAAGACCCAGAATGCCAGATTATTCCATTAAAGCTTGTTTCTTCAACTGTACCACTTAAAAAAAATCACCCATGTTACTGGGAAATTGAATGTGATTTACCCTGTCCAGAACTTAGAGAGGCCTGGTTATAATCAAAAAACTAATTGACCAAGTCTAGAGGAATTTATCTATGTGTGAGTATATTTGTTGTTTCATTTTTTTAAATATCGCACTCCTTTGTAATTAAATAAGAATGGATCTCACCAGTGTTGTAAACAGACTGTCTTAATTTCAGACTAAGAAAGGAAGAAGAATGGAGTTGGTAACTAGATAATGGAATTTGGAGTAGGGGCCAAAAGCAAAATAGCTTAAGTCTTCTCACTTTTTGATTAGAGGAATCTTCTGCTCATCCAGTGCATAATGTCAGATAACCAGTCTGATAATTTAGGAAAGTAGTGGGGTGCAGCTGGGCATTGTCAAGATACATTTGCAAACGAAAATCATATCTTCAGATAATGTCATCAAGGATCAGCATGTAGATGAGAAATAGTAGGCAGCCAAAGATAGATAGATAAAGGGAAACATCCAGGGTTATGTATGAGAAAGCGAAGAAAAGCCATAACAAATGATTCTCTACCTACATTTATTTAGATAAAAATGGAATTAGATAAATGCTTTCCCAATTACCGGATGAGAGTGGAAGACATTGAGAATAGTATTGTCAACTGTATCAAACACTGCACGCAGTTACAGAAGAATGAAGAGGAAAAGTTGATCTTTGTCTTTCACAGGAGGGAGGACTCACAGGCAAAGGTGAGCTTGGGGCATGACAACAGACAGGAGAGAAACAGAAGCTATAGGATGTTTGGTCAGCTGGGTTAGTAAAATGCAGTGCAGCAAAGGCAGCTGATTGGATTCTCTCAATCAAAATGGTAAAGATGTCAATAAACGCTCATACATATTGTAGGAGGCAAGGGTGGAGCAGACATGGAAGAAGGTTTAACAACATGAAGCCTCTTCTAGAATACTGTGTCCAGTTCTGGTCACCCAGTTATAGGAAGGATATTATTAAGCTGGAGAAGGTTCAGAAGAGATTTACCAGGATGTTGCTGGGTATGGAAGGTTTGAGTTAAAAAGAAAGTATGGGCAGGGTGAGACTTTCTCCACTGGAGCGTAGGAGGTTGAGAGACCGCCTTATAGAAGTTATGAAATAATGAGGAGTATAGGTAGAGATAACGTTAGTTGTCTTTTCCCTAGGATGGAGGATTTCAAAACTAGGGGCCACATTTTAAGGTGAGAGGAGAGAGATTTAGAAAAGACATGAGGAGAAATTTTCTTCACAGAGGGTGGTTTGCGTGTGGAATAAACTTCCTGAGGAAGAGGTGGATGTGGGAACAATTACAACGTTTAAAAGACATTTGGATAAGTGTATGAATAGGAAGGGTTTGGCGGGATGTGGGCCAGGAGCAGGCAGATGGGACTAGTTTAGTTTGGAATTATGTTCAGCATGGGCTGGTTGGATTGAAGGTTCCATTTCAGTGCTGTATGGCTCTATGACTTTGACTCTGTAACATGGTTTGCAGTGGAAAAAAGAAGCCGGGGTTATCTTTGCATTCCAGAATTCCTCATGGGAGAGATTAGGACCAGACAACATTGTTTCATAATAAAGGGAACCAATTTAAGACTGAGATGAACTCCCTTTCCTCAGAGAGTTGAGAGTCTTTGGAACTCCTTGCCAATGGAGACTGTGGGGGGCACAATCCTTGTATATATTTAAGGCTGAGATAGAAAGATCCTTGATGAGTGTGGGAATCAGGTTTATGAGGAAAGAGCAGGAAAGTGGATATGAGGAATGTTGGATGAGCCATGAGTCTATTGAATAGCAATGCAAGCTCATGGGGCCAAATTGAACTCATGTTCTATTTCTTATGGCCTATAATCCTAGAATTGTGAGCAGTTTTAGCAGACAAGAGCAGAACTTGATAGTGTTGTCTGTCATATCCATTAAATTCACCTTAAGGGAGAAGATAGTTTGTGAGGGTGTGGCCATACAAATCTGTGTTTGCAGAATGTGGTGAATGGATGGCCAAAGATTAGACAGTTGCAATTTTGAAAGTGCAACTAAAATGTACCTGTGATTGAAGACACAGCTACTAATGGTGTGATGAAGTGAGAGATAGGCAGTGGGTGGTGTACAAAATAAAAACTGAAGTCAGAGAAGAAAATTTAAAATATAGGCTTTGGGGGACTAGAAACTAACGTATGTTAGAGAGAACCAGTGCGATGCACAAGTGGAGATACTGTGTTGAACAGGGTAGTTTGTATGCGTACAGAGGTCAGGTGGAGAAAGTGGGAGACTAACAAAACAGCGCAATAGCCAAGTCTGAAGGAGTGAAAAAGGATGAAAATGCCATCTAAACTGAGTCAGGAATAGAGAGACTTAGAAGTAGACGATGTGTGAAAGTTTAGTACCAAATTTGATCTTGTGGTCAAATTTTTCTCCTCTGATAAGGAGACCAAAACTACAGAGTACTCAAATCCTCTCGTTATGAAGGCCAATATACCCTTTGTCTTTTTCACCACAGAGAACCTAGAAGAAACCCATGCAGATGCAGGGAGAATGTGCAAATTCCACACAGCCAGTCACCTGACAGTGGAATCAAACCCAGGTCGCTGGTGCTGTGAGGTAGCAGTGTTAACCACTGAACCACCATGCTGCCCATGGATGAGTGCAAATCCAACAGCACTCAAGAAATTCAACACCATCCATAAGACCATACGATATAAGAGCAAAATTAGGCTATTTAACTCATCAAGTCAGCCCCATCATTAGATCATGGCTGATGTGTTTCTCAATCCCATTTTCCTGTCTTCTCATAACGTTTGATTCCCTTACTAATCAAAAACTGTTTCTGTCTTAAACACACTCAATTACTTGGCCTTCACAGCATTCTGAGGCAGTGAGTTCCACAGGTTCACCTCTGTCTAGCTGAAGAAATTCCTCCTCATATCAGTTCTAAAGGGCCGTTCCTTTACTCTGAGGCTGTGTTCTCAGGTCCTAGTTACTTCCACCAGTTGAAACATCTTCTCCATGTTCATTCTATCCAGACCTCTCAGTATTCTGTAAGTTTCAATCAGATCTCCCTTCATCCTTCCAAACTCAATCAAGTACAGACCCAGACAAGCCCTCCACCCTCAGCATCATTCTTGTAAACCTCCTCTGGACACCTACAAGGCAGAAGCTTATACAGCCTCAGCAGCACATCCCTGCTGTTGCATTCTAGATCTCTCAAAATGAATGCTAACATTCTATTTGCCTTCCTAACTGCCAAATGAACCTACATGTTAACCTTAAAAGACTCCTGAACTAGGATGTCTGAATCTATTTGTGCTTCAGATTTCCAGAGCCTTCGCCCATTTAGAAAATTGTCTTTGCCTCTATTCTTCCTATCAAAATACATAACCTCACACTTTCCCATCTGCCACTTCTTTGCCCACTCTCCGAGCCTGTCCAAGTCCTTCTGCAGCCTCCCCTCCTCCTCAACACTACCTGTCCCTCCACCTATCTTTGTGTCATTTGCAGTCTTAGTAACAATGTCTTTAGTTGCTTCGTCCAGATTGTGAACATATAACTGAATGGTTGTGGTCCCTACACAGACCCCTACAGAACTCCACTAGTTGCCAGCTGTCATCCTGAGAAAGACCCCTTTACTCCTTTGTCTGTCTTCAGCCAATCCTCCATCCATGTCATGCTTTTGGGCTGTTATCTTATTTAGCAGTCTCCTATGCAGCATGTTGTGAAAAGCCTTCTGGAAAACTAAAAATCTCACATCTACTGGCTCTCCTTTGTCTAACTCACTCATTATCTCCTCAAAGAATTCTAACAGTTTGTCAGGCCTGACCTCCCCTTAATGAAGCCATGCTGACTCAGCCCTATTTTACCATGCACTTCTAAGTACTCAGCAATCTCATCTTTAAAAATGGAGTCTAAAATCAGGCAAACCAGCTTAAAATTTCCTGCCTTCTGCCTCCCTCCCTTCTAAAACAGAGGTGCTTAAATTAGCCATTTTCCAGTCCTCTGGGACTCCAGTGATTGCCGCCAATACATCCACAATCTCCTAAGCGATCTCCTTCAGAACCCTGGGTGTAGCAAATCAGGTCTGAGTGATTTATTTGTCTTCAGACCTTTCAGCTTCCCCAGCACCTTCTCCTTAGTGAGCACCTTCTCCTTAGTGATTCCCACTAAACTCATCTCTACCTCTGACTCTCTTGAAGTTCTGGTATGCTTCTGATGTCTTCCATCATGAAGAATGATGCAAAGTACCTATTCAGTTCCTCTGCCATTTCTTTACTTCCTCATTACTACTTCCCCAGCCTCATTTTCCATTGGTCCAATGTCCACTCTTGCTTCTCTCTTACCTTTTATAAATGTAAAAATACTCTTGCAATCTTATTTTATGTTACTTGCTAGCTTACCCTCATATTTTATCTTGTCCCACCTCATTGCTTTTTTAGTTGTCCAATGCTGGTTTTTAAAGTATTCCTAATCCTCTGGCTTCCCACTAATCATCACCACATTCTATGCTTATAACATTGTGTACAGAACTAAAAAGCCTTTTGGATTTACTCTCTCCACCACTGGTTCACCATGGCAGCAGTGCAGGACAAAGCTTGATTGGCACCCCATCTACATCATTCAACATACACATCTTTCACCATCAAGGCAAAGAGGTGGTAGTGTGTACCACCTACAAGATGCAGTAACTTACTACGCCTCCTTGCATAGCACTTTCCAAACCCATGACCTCTAACGCCTGAAAGGACATAGACAGCAGATGCTTAGGCACATCACCAAGTTCCCCTTCAAGTTACATATAATCTTTACTTGAAACTATATCACTATTCATTCATTGTCGCTGGGTCAAAATCCTGAAACTCCTTCCCTAATAGCACTATGGGTGGCCATTCACCCTAAGAAAAGTGGTTTAAGAAGGCAACTTGCCACCATTTTCTCAAGGGCAATTAGAAGTGGATGGATAAAAAGCTGCTCTGGCCAGTAATGTCCAGATCCTATGTACAAATAAAAGGAAAATAAAGTTGTTTAGATGAATTGCAGAAACTTGTCAAAGTTCCTTCAACAGCACTTTTCAACCTTGTGACTTCTACCATCTAGCTGAACAAGGGCTCATGTGCATGAGAAAACTATCTTCAAATTCTACTCCAATTCACTTGTTAATATGATCTTGAAATATATCACTGTTCC